TGAAAAGAGACGTAACGAATACAATTTTTATTGTTTAAAGGAGCAGAGAATGCAAACGACAATACAGACGAGATCAGTTGGATGAAACCTGGACCTAATAAGCACTTGAAGATGATTGCAATGTCTCATCCAGTTGAGAACCCTCTTCAATATGTTCATTATGATTATACGGCAGCAACAGCAATTACATCTAAAATGTGCCACCTTAAAAATAATAAACCTGATCAATATACTGATGGTGACTGTAATATCAAAACAACTGATTGTTTAAAAAAAGATATAATTGTATATCCTTTAGGTGAGAAGTCTTTCCAATGTTATCATTGTGGTTATAAAACAGAAACACTAAATGTATTAAAAACACATATGACTAAACATCATAGTGAAAAAAAGTCTCATGTATGTTCTCATTGTGAATATAGAGCAGTAAGAGCAGGTAGTTTAAAAAAACATATTATGGCTCATCATAATGGCGAGAAGCCTCATCAGTGTCTTCATTGTGACTATAGTGCAGTAGAAGCAAGGAGTTTAAGAAGACATATTATGGCTCATCATAATGGCGAGAAGCCTCATCAGTGTCCTCATTGTGACTTTAAAACAGGGTACACAAGTAGTTTAAGAAAACATATTATGGCTCATCACAATGGTGAGGAGCCTCATCAGTGTCCTCATTGTGACTATGCAGCTGTAGTAGCAAGTAATTTAAAAAACCATATTATGGCTCATCATAATGGCGAGAAGCCTCATCAGTGTCTTCATTGTGACTATAGAGCAGTAGAAGCAAGGAGTTTAAGATTACATATTATGGCTCATCATAATGGCGAGAAACCAAATCGCTGTCCTCATTGTGACTATAGTGCAGTAGAAGCAAGGAGTTTAAGAAGACATATTATGGCTCATCATAATGGCGAGAAGCCTCATCAGTGTCCTCATTGTGACTTTAAAACAGTGCATGCAAGTAGTTTAAGAAAACATATTATGGCTCATCATAATGGTGAGAAGCCTTATCAGTGTCCTTATTGTGACTTTAAAACAGGGTATGCAAGAAGTTTAAAAAGCCATATTATGGCTCATCATAATGGTGAGAAGCCTTATCAGTGTCCTCATTGTGACTTTAAAACAGGGTATGCAAGAAGTTTAAAAAGGCATATTATGGCTCATCATACAGGCGAGAAGCCTCATCAGTGTCCTCATTGTGACTATACAACAGTAGAAGCAAGAAATTTAAAAAGACATATTATGTCTCATCATAGTGGCAAGAAGCCTCATGTATGTTCTCATTGTGAATATAGAGCAGTAGAAGCAAGCAGTTTAAAAAGACATATTATGGTTCATCATAATGGCGAGAAGCCTCATGAGTGTCCTCATTGTAACTATACAACAGTAAGAGCAGGTAGTTTAAAAAAACATATTATGGCTCATCATAATGGCGAGAAGCCTCATCAGTGTTCTCATTGTGACTTTAAAACAGTGCACATAAATAGTTTAAAATTACATATTATGGCTCATCATAATGGCGAGAAGCCTCGTCAGTGTCTTCATTGTGACTATAGAGCAGTAGAAGCAAGGAGTTTAAGATTACATATTATGGTTCATCATAATGGCGAGAAGCCAAATCGCTGTCCTCATTGTGACTATAGTGCAGTAGAAGCAAGGAGTTTAAGAAGACATATCATGGCTCATCATAATGGCGAGAAGCCTCATCAGTGTTCCTATTGTGAACATAAAACAGTACAAGCAGGTGATTTAAAATTACATATTATGGCTCATCATAATGGCGATAAGCCTCATCAGTGTCCTCATTGTGGCTTTAAAACAGTGCACGCAAGTAGTTTAAAAAAACATATTATGGCTCATCATAATGGTGAGAAGAATTATCAGTGTCCTCATTGTGACTTTAAAACAGGGTATGCAAGAAGTTTAAAAAGGCATATTATGGCTCATCATAATGGCGAGAAGCCTTATTAGTATCCTCATTTTAACTTTAAAACAGTACACATAAGTAGTTAAAGTAGGACACATAGAAACAAGATTATGATTGCGCAAATGTAACTGAAGTTCAAGAAAATACACTGGCTGAGAAAACTTCCTTTGGTCACTCAGAAAGTGATGAGAAGCAAACTGTTACTGAAGAGCTAAACAAAAGTCTCCAATTGATAATGGATCAGGAAATCTCTTAAGAAAAGAGAAAGAAATCCTTGAATAAAAATTAGTGAGAGCAGAAGTCCCGGTAGAAATCTATCTAGTTAATGTTGTAGATACCAAGAAAGAACTTCTCAAGTTTCAAATCGAGTTCAAAGGGTTAAAATCCATCAAAGAAAAGTATGATAATTCTTTTATCCAGAAATGCCTTTAATTCTAGGAAAGACAACTCTACGTTTAAAAGATGAGTTAGGAAAATTGGATGACTGGAGTAAGGACAGAACAGGACTACATTGGAGTAAGGACAGAACAGGCCTACATGAAGAGTCATTCCATGGACTTACTAAGTATAATTTTGATTGTGATGGACTACCAGTCACCCTACTCATTCTAGAGTATGAGTTTTATGGGGTTTATATTATCCTGGATCATGTTAGGGCAGGCTGCTTACTATATTATATGTCATAGTGAGACACGGTTGTCTTTTTCCTATTCCAGAGGACAAATAAGAGGTTTTGAACTTAGCATCCCTTCGTTGACGAGCTAGAGGGCAGTGGCGAAACCATCGTTAGGTTACCCAATCTGGATAACCTGTAAAAATATTGTGAATATAGCTTTGTAAATAGTGTAATTAAGTTACTGTAGAAATAGTGTAATTGGTATAGAAAGGATTAGGATTTTAATTATAAATTTTATAAACGGAAGGTAATGGATCTCAGAGTAAATTATTGATTTAGAGGAGATTAAATAACTAAAATATAAATATAATTTCTGATTATAATATTTAAAATTTTAATAAGTAGTAATTTTTTTTGCCGGATATTGCTCGGTAAAATCCGTATTTTAGAAGAAAGTTAGAAATTGTTTTTATTAATCAATGTGTTCTCTCTGTTCAATCAATGTGTTTAATAAAAGTTATTAATATTTTAGAATGTTACATCAATAATATAAGCATTTATTTTGTAAGTTAATTGTATATAAGATATGGAAATTATACTGTAAAGTTTTTTTTGTAAATAATGTATATTGCTTATTTTTTTACTTGTAAATCTATCTACTTTACTTATTTTTCCTGTTCACAAATTATATAAACAAGTTAAGTGATTACCGTATGTAGTTATGTATCATCTAAATTAGTTCAAAATTAAGGTATGGTCTTCAATTTAATTTTAGTATGTCATGTGAATAATTCTTTAAGAAAAGGAGAAAAGTTAGAAGAAAAAAATAGTTTAGATGTAACCCAGAGGCAATTTTAAAAATTTTGTTTGTTTATATTGAATGTGCAATGCGCCGATGTTTCAGTATTCACCTAAATTCAATTTAAAAGAGAAAAAAAATTGTACTTAAAATATTTTTTTTTTAACCCGAAAGTGGGGAGAAATGTAATGTACACCTTAATTGGAAGTTGGTAAAAATGGTTGAATAAATTAATGTTGATCAGTTGAAAGGCAAGCTAATCTAGTTTCACTAGTTCAGTGAAAAGAAAATGGCTGCTCTGTAGTTTCCCGAGTAAGGAAAATCCCAAAGAGGAGAGGGAACAAAGGATTTTGTTTAGGTAGGCAGTTGGTGTTTAGCTGGGGTGAAGAGAGGATAGGAGAAAGGATCCAGGCCCCAGTGGGTAAAACCCAGTAATAGTATTACCGTTTTGGAAGTTGTGTTTGACAAAACTTTGGAAAGTGTTTAAAGACAAATTAATTCAGTGCCACAAAGGAAGGAACAGTGTATATAGAAAAAGGTTAGCTTGCCAAATCATACTTGACTTTATTTTAAAATCAAACAGTGTTAAGTGTAGTCTGTAAGTAGTTTGTCTGAGTGTTTTTATCTGATCGTCAGTAACCCGTATCTGAGATAAAATAATTATAAATTTCAATTTAATATGTTAATGATCTAATAATTTTGCTTATTATTTAACAACCTCTTACTTCCTTTGGAAGTATCCCAACAGTATAAAATGATTACAGAGGTTATATATTATTATTATTATTATTAGTTAAAATATAATAAATGATACAATATATATATATATATATATATATATATATATATATATATATATATATATATATGTCTGTCGTCTGTCTCTTATTGTCGACGTTTGTCTTTTAAAACCTGAAATCTGTCCTTCTAATATACATATATATATATATATATATATATATATATATATATATATATATATATATATATATATAGAAGCTCACAGTTGATGTTTTGATAGAATGGGAGAATCTCTAAGACTGATTTTATACACAATTATTCGATTTTTCTTTCCAGCTCCGACATCATCAACTTTTCAATTTTTTTTTAAATGATATATACTTCTTAAAAAATGTTATCCGCTTGTTTTCACTGTACAACCTCTCAAATTATTTTATTTTGGTTTAGTGTAAAATATAAATCGACGTCATATACAATCGATGTGGAAGAATTCTTAATCGAATGTGTAATGAAAAATATTCGTTTTTGTGCACAAATATTCAATTTTTCTTTTCATTACGACATGATCAACTTTGCTAATTTTTAAAATGTTATACGGGATATGAGAAGGGTACCAACGCAAAGCAAGTTGCTGACTGAGCTGAGCCCTGCTACACAATCGGCTGCCGACCCATTCTTGCTATACTCAGCTCAGCTGCGTTTTCAGTGTCCAGTCAGTCTTAAGGAGACCAAGCTAAAAGGAAAAGGGCAAGAATGGATGGGGGATTATGTTCACTTGTGGAGTGGTGTATCGAAGGATGAACGAGCAAAAGCAGCTGGGGTTTCTATGGTGTTGAAGAAAAAGTTTAAAAATCTGATTACCCATTATGAGGAAATTTCTGAGCGGTTAATTAGAATTGACCTCAATCTCTGGGGGGTAGATGTGTGGTGATTGTAGGGGTGTATGCACCAGGGAACATAAACCTCAGGTGAGTGAAAATGTTTTTGAGGAGAGCTTGGGGAAAACCTTAAAAAAAGTGCGGCCTAATGCAGAGATCGATCTTCCTTGCAAAGGATTTCAATGCGAGAGTTGGACAGGAATCGGCGCAGGATGGTTGGACGCTTTGGTGCAGGGATTGTGGCGGACAATGATAGGAGGCTCATAGATATCTGTGAGCCTTTCTATCCAAAAATCCAGAACACCTTTTTCAGACATAAGCGGATTCATCAAACCACGTGGAGCAAGCCGGGATTCCAACCCTTGATGTTGGATTATTGCATTACGAGACAAAGGTGTTCTTTTAAAATAGAAGATGTGAGGCTCTTCAGAGAATGTAGTAGGGGAAACTACTATAAAATCCTCCTTAGTTAAGATAGACCCAGTTTATATATGAGAGAGAGATAATTCAGGTACTGAAGTAGTTGAACGAACGGTCGACGTGGAGTAGGATGTTCAGCGGACACTAGCAAAACCAAAAACTGGCACATCTCCAGGACCAGGCTGAATCGGTATGAAGCTCTTAAAGCTGGCAGTGCGAAACTAGTAGCCTAATAAGTAATAATTACCTATAAGAATCAGTAAATATACAAAACAAACAGTTAAATTGCAAACGTTAAATAAAAAAATTAAGACATTCAGCGAAGTATTTTTGAATTAAGTTTTATTATTATAATTATATCATTTTTACAATAGAGGCCTTCTTAAATGACCTCCGTATAGAATAAAGGAAGTAATGTTACAAAAAAAAAATACTGAATGTGGCAGAGGCCTGTAGGCACCTACGCCAGTACCCCTCCCTTATTTACTCCCATCTTCAGAACTACAATCCCAATGATTTTTTGTTGTTACATGGCTAAAAAAATTAAGTTAAAATATCCAAATAAACGAAGACCTTATCAAGCTAAACCAGTTCATTGACCGAAATAATGATATTGTTATAATAAAATCGGATAAAACTAAAAAATTAGCAATACTCCATAAAAAGATTACAATGACAAAATGAAGGAGCTATTAAGTGACAAAAACACTTATAGGAAAATAAGAAACAATCCGATACCTGAAATAAATAGTAAAGTCAATACATATGTAAATAAACTCCATAAACTAGGATACGTAGATAAATTCATTAAAAACAAACTTTCAGCCTCAGACTCCACTACACCTAGAATCCATGGCCTCATTTAACTACACAAAACTGGTAATAGATTAAGACCCATAATAAACAATATAGATGGACCAACTGAAGTTCTCTCCAAATTCCTAAACCCATCCCTCCACGCTCTTAATAATAATAATAACTTTGATGTCAAAAATGCTATAGAATTGAAAGAAATAATTAAAAATTTCCAATGTAATATAAAAGATACAGAAATTATGAGTTTAGACGCTGAATCTCTTTTTACTAATATCCCATTATGATGAATGTATAAAAATTATAGATGACAACTGGGACAGCGTAAAAAGTGAAACCAAAATTAAAGATAAAAGAATATTCATCGAAGGAATAAATCTTTGTACAAGAAATAACTATTTCAAATCTAATAATGAATTTTATAAACAACTTTGGGGAGTCTGATCACAACACAACTAACTAACTTACAACAAAACCCACTGTTAATAAAAAAATTCATAGATGACTTGCTACTTATAATAAAAAAAGATTTGGAAAAATGAAATAATGAAAAGCTAGTATAACAAAAGAATCAGATTTACAATAGAAAAAGCCACAAACATCAGACTCAGAATTTTGGACAAAGGGCAGATACTTACCTAATGGACAAAAAAAGAGAAAATCAGTAATAACTTTAGCTGAAACCATCGCAAACATCAAATAATAAATACAGCCAAGAACCTAATACACAAATCATTAGAACTTACTGTCAAACCTTACATTCCACAAGTAAAAACAGAAATATACAAAATACTTATCGAGAATTTTTACCCTGTAAACTTAATCAACAAACTTTGGTATAATCGATCACATACAACACTAAACCATAATGAAAATAAAACCAAAAAACAGACAATACAAAAGAAAACATTACAATAAAGAAAACTACAAAACAATTCATCACCCAATATTTTCAAAAAACAAATCCAACAAACGAGAACAATCAGGACTACATGTCACAAACAAACAAAATGGATTTTAACTACTACTACAAAATTACATACATACCTGAACTTACTAACAAAATTAATGACGTGTTCGAAAAAAAGACATAACAGAAATCAAACTCGGACAATATAATAATAAAAACATTAAACTGCTCCCGCATTTAACCCCTTTTTAGCTGCATCTTGAAGTATTCAGTTCATTTATCTACTATATATTCGTTTAGCCATATAATTGATACTGATCCTTGTTTTCTTTTCTGAGATATTACCACTTCCTTTGTCGTTAGCTTACTGTATTTTTCCAATTTTTGGGTTCAATTTCACGTTTTCACTCATTTTAAGACCAAATACTAACAATCAGTTCCAGTTAGATAGATGAACTCACAGCTTCGCTCTTTTCATCTTTCTTTGTGCGGAAAGAATAATGCATTCAATATTAAAATTTCCTACTTTTTTTATGTTATGGTCCAACTTCCTAACAAAATAAACAAAAAAATGTTTTTTTATTCGTGATGCATGAGTTTTACTGAACAACCAATTAACTATTCGTTATATATGATTCACATTAGGTACATATTATTTTAGTTTATAAAACAGGTATTAATATGACTCATTTCTGAAGAAGTATATACAGTTTAAATTACCTCTAAGAATCAGTAAATGTACAAAACAAAGTGTTAAATTGTAAACGTTAAATAAATAATTCAAGATATTGAGCAAAGAATTTTTTAATTAAGTTTTATTATTATAATATCATTATTACAATAGAGGCATTCTTAAATGACCTCCATATAGAATAAAGGAAATTATATTTGAAAAAATAAATAAAAATTTTTTTTATATATATTTTTTACAATTAATTACTTGCATTAATATTTGTTCGTAAATACAATCAATCTAATGTGGCAAAAACATTATTATAGAACTATAACTAAGCCATTTATGAGTACTGAATGGTGTGGTAGAGGCATGTAGGCACCCATGCCAGTGCCGCTTTTCTTCCGCTTAAGTGCATTTTCTACGGAACTGCTTAAAATATTTTAAAATGTAATCAGTAATTTAGAAAGAGAAATATATTTCACAGATCTGTTATTTCAAAACGTTTTGCGTTATTGTTGGCCGTTTAATTACAAACAACGCTTGATTTTCAACTTGAAAATTTGTTTGTTAAAAAAGTTGACTTTATGGATGGTTTTTATTGCCTAAGCCAATTAGTTTTTAATATTTTTTCATGTTTTCTTATTGTCTGACTATTCAGCTTTAATAAAACACCAACTATGACGAAATTAAGCCAAATGCTGATTCTCAGTTAACAAAAAACTAACTAAAGTCAAAGTCGTCAATCCTCTATGTTTAGACGCCATTGTGGGGAAGTTCGTTCACCTTTTCTTGTGGAAACATTGGCTTTTTTTAAATAAATAGTTACAAGGAACACAACGATATGCGATTTATAAGGATGTGGGGAGAAGTGGGTGCACGGTAGGGGGTCTGGCCCACAATCTACATTATTTAATTTAGAAATTTAAATCCAAACAGAAAATATAATAAAAAATATTAAAATTATACCGTTTCTCTTTTCTGTTCTCAGTTAATTAGCAAGAACCCTCGGACATGTGTCTAGTATTTTTCAACCTAGTATAACTAGAAAAAGTTTCTTTGAAATTGGTGATGTTTCATCCCTAACCTCTCATTGTAAAACAAATTTTTCTTATACTTAAAATTTTTTTAATCTAAATTACTATGCTGCATTGGTGAATTAAATATTTATCGCTTCCTATTCACAAAAAAACACAAAACTTTTTCTTTCCAAGGAGATTCATATATTTTTTTTTTCTATGACGTTGAGATTTTAAACAGAATCCTATTTTGCTAGGAATCGTACTTCTTAAAATATTTTCTATTTTCTATAGATCACCTACTCTATTATTGCTATTATTTTATTGCAAGTATTATAATTGAAATTTTTAATCAATACTCATATTTTTATAAGCAAAAATCCTAAAAAAAAACATAACAGATAAAATGTTTATTGTTTAAAGGAGCGGAGAATTCCTTCGACAATACAGAGGAGATCAGTTGGTTGAAACCCGAGCCTAATATGCACTTGAAGATGATTGAAATGTCTCATCCAGTTGAGAACCCCCTTCAATATGCTCATTATGATTATACGGCAGCAACAGCAAGTACATCTAAAATGTATGAAATGTGCCACCATAACAATAAAAAGTCCGATCAATATACTGATGGTAACTGTAATACAGCAACAACAGATTGTTTAAAACATGATATAATTGTACATCCTTCAGGTGAGAAGTCTTTTCAATGCTTTCATTGTTACTATAAAACAGAAACACGGAATGCATTAAAAACACATATGATTAAACATCATAGTGAAAGAGAGCCTCATGTATGTTCTCAATGTGACTTTAAAACAGTGTATGCTCGTAATTTGAAAAAACATATTATGTCTCGTCATTGTAGCAAGAAGCCTCATGTATGTCCTCATTGCGACTATACAGCAGTAGAAGCAAGCAGTTTAAAATGGCATATCATGGCTCATCATACAGGCGAGAAGCCACATCAGTGTACTCATTGTGACTTTAAAACAGTGCACGCAAGTAGTTTAAGAAAACATATTATGGCTCATCATACAGGCGAGAAGCCTTACCAGTGTCCTCATTGTGAACATAAAACAGTACAGTCAGGTAATTTAAAAAGACATATTATGATTCATCATACTGGTGAAAAGCCTCATCAGTGTCCTCATTGTGACTATGCAGCAGTAGTAGCAGGTCATTTAAAAATACATATTATGGCTCGTCATAGTGGCAAGAAGCCTCATCAGTGTCTTCATTGTGACTTTAAAACAGTGCACGCAAATAGTTTAAAAACACATATCATGGCTCATCATAATGGCGAGAAGCCTCATCAGTGTCCTCATTGTGAATATAAAGCATTACATTCAGGTAATTTAAAAACGCATATTATGGCTCATCCTGATAGCGAGAAGCCTCATCAGTGTCCTTATTGTGAT